ATATTGGAACTATAGCCAGTATAATGTTACATTTTGTTCATAACATTGTATCACCACCTGCCATTGTAGGCCACTGTCTGTACAACTGTCTGCTAAAAAATTTATTTATGTATGACCTGTCCTGTGCTTGCTGCACTTCATATATGAAAAAGCCTGCATGTCCTTCTGATTGAGCTAGAGAGTCTTTGTGGCTGCTTTCATTTGATGCAGTTTAGCGTGTGTATTCACAGAGGACATTCAAAAGCTACAGTGACATTCAAGGGCAACAAACAGGCTTAAAATGAAAGACTGAGGCTTGTCCTTTTTCACCAGAGCCACCACTCGTTCCGCAGTGTGTATTGGGCCTCTCTGTCTTTATAGAAATGTGTCGCTAATCAGTAATAAGGTATGTGTCAATATTCAGTACATATGACCGTATACAAAAGATATGTTTTGTGGAATTTCTAAGTGAAAATAAGTGCAGAGAGGATTAATGCACAATTACTGTTTATTTGCTACAAAATGACATTCATTCTACCACACACATACCTGCAGACCTTTCTTAGCAGACCTGTGAAGAAAAGGTATTATTACTGGATTATTTTGTTGAATTTTTTCCAGTTTTCTTCCAATGTGTCTTCTATTGCTTTAATATTTTGAGCTGTAGAGAAGAAAATGTATTTCACCTTCAATTTCCATTAGGCCACAGTACCTACATATGTCTTCCTCCCTTTAGCAGCCCAGTTTTGTGGTGTCTTCCTCTTTCCACTTTTAAAGGTTGCGTTCACTTATTTTACATTTTGTTAGCATTGTCAGAACATCTTTATGTGTCGTTTAATATGGGTTGCCCTGAAGGAGTGATTTTTGGTGTTTTACTGATCTTTTATATATGTCAATGTGGGGAATAAAGTCAGTATTCTGCTCTGCGTGCATTACAGGAGGTGTTTCTGTGCACCCATGTAATGTTTTTTTTGCAAATTCCAATGTATTCTTTCAGTTTTTATCCCAATTGTTTATACATAGATGTAGGGGTGGGAATCTCTAGGCACCTCACGATTTGATTCGATTACGATTTAGAGGGCTGCGGTGCGATTATAAAACGATTATTGATGCATCTTGATGCATCTTTTTTTTCTATACAGGATTTCTTTTTTCTCACTGTCTGACGACTTGGTAGTTTTAAAGCAAAATTTTTGTAATGATCCACAATGACTTTACTTCCAATATTTTTTATTAATAAAACAAATGGAAGTGATGTGGCAAGTGAGCACGAGACGCAGGCTGCCACTCTTCTGCGATAAAATGCGCAGTTACAGTGAAATAAGATTCTGTGGCAATGGATGTCCACGCATCAGATTACACCTGTCCTACCTGTTTTCTTCATTGATTTTATAACTTCGGTTATGGTCTCGCTGTAGACAGTGGGGGGGTCGCTGTGTCAGTAAAACATCTTCTAGACGGGACGCTGTATCTCGGCTCCAAAGTGTGCAACATAGCGCGAAAGCTCTGGTTCTGAACGACTGAGTACAGACGCAAATCATTGGCAATAAAAGTTGTGATAGAGTTTGTAATTCGCTTCCGAGTTGGGTGGAAGCTTTGACATCACTTGCTCGATTGTCCTCTGGTTGGCAGCAAGTACAACCGGACGGGAAACGGGCGGAAACCTGTAATATGGTTTCTCATGTTTGTCGTTTCCAAAATATTTTAGTTTAGTGTGACACAACTTGCATATTGTGTGGCTCTTGTCCAGGTCCTTTTTCCCCTTCAACTTCATAGAAGCCAAAGTGCTTCAATATGCTAGCTCAGGGGTCGGCAACATACGGCTCTTTTACTGTCCTGATAAAAATAAAATAATCCTCATCTGCAGCAAAATAAAGCTCTGCTGATCGTTCTTACACTGTTTTAACAATAAATGGTCTTAAATGCTGCTAATTCACCACCCTATAACCCTGAAGGCTGGCAGACAGACTGCAGGTCACACAGCAACGCGTCTTGCCTAGCTAGTCTAGTAGCTAACAAAAGGGCAAAGAGAAAGATTTATGATGAACATTTGGAAACTAATGGACTTATTCGCATTTATAAGCACCGCAGTTGGTTTCCTGGTATGTTAAATCTGCAACGAGAGACTGTCAAACACTAAAACGTTGCAAAGCTGAAGTCAGCTTCTCTTTTGAATTTCCCCGTTCCACCTTAAATGGTGCCGTTAAATTCTGCCTGAGGCGGAATTTAACGTGGAACAGGAAAATTCGAACAAGAAGCTGGTGAATGAAAAGCTGACTTCAGCCTTGTGGAACAGTTGAGTTGAGAGATGTTTTACAAGAAACTCTTCTACTTGTAAAGTGGCTATAGCTAAAGCTTAAAGCAGAGCAAAGTAAGTCTGCGTTTTTCGTTTATATTTTTTAGCCTATACTAGGGCATTAGCACATACTGAGATGTATTCGACATAAAATGTTGTGTCTCCCAAGGTGGTTTGATTTTTGTTGAAAGGACAAAATGGCTCGTCTTAACATTTGGGTTGTCGACTCCTGACCTAACCTAGCTTCTAACGCAGAGTGTGCTGGTTGGATTTCTCGCTCATCCATTTTACGGAGCCCGGCTGGGTTAAAAATAATGCGTGGCCACACCTTATTAACATGTGGGAATGAGATCCTAATGCATGGCCACGACTTACTAAGTTGTGGCCACGTGTTATTTTTATTTATACAGGATCTCATCAGCGGGGCTCTGTACGTTTTTGTTATGTGCACGTCACAGAGTGTCCGGACGCTGCACTTCTGCACTTCCAAGTCCCACCTTTTGCGTTCCATCAACATTACGTTATCAATGAAATATTTAGAAAATCGATTTTTGACATTTGTGAATCGATTCAGAATCGTCACGTCCGCATCATGATGCATGTAAGAATCGATTTTTTCCCCCACCCCTACCTAGATGTAAGTTTGGGCTACATATTTTATATTCATATAGTACAGTTAGTTTATTATAGAATTTAACAATTTTATCCAGATTTTGATTGGAGTATTTATTTCTCCAAATTTAAAGCAGCAGCATAAAAAACTCTTATTGCCTTTTAACTCAAATTTTACAACCAGGCTGAAATTCTCAGATGAGCCGGCTTTAATACTGAAAATAAGTAGAGCAGGTGTTACGTTTCAGAATTTGTGCTCCATAAGTATATTAGTGTCTCTCTTTCTTTTTCTTTCTCTTTCTCTCTCTCTCTCTGTCTTTCTCTCTCTCTCTCTCTCTCTCTCTCTCTCTCTCTCTGTCTTTCTCTCTCTCTCTCTCTCTCTCTCTCTCTCTCTCTGTCTTTCTCTACATCTCTCATCTCTTTTTTCCTCTTTTTGCTCTTTTTCTCCCTTCCTCTCTCTCTCTCTTCTCTCTCTGTCTGTTTCCCTCTCTTTCTCTACATCTTTCCTTTTTTCTCTTTTGCTCTCCTCTTTCTCTCACTTTTTCTGTCTGCATCTCTAGCCATAGATTGCTTTTCTCAATTGCTCCGTCTGCCTCTTTTCGTTACTCTCTCTCTCTCATTCATTGTCATTGGCTTTCTCTATCTTTCTGTCTTCTTTTCTCTCTTTCACTCTCACTAGCCCTTTCCCCCCTCCACCCCCCCCACCCCCTCGCTCACTCTCATTGGCCTTCTCTATTTCTCTGTCAGTCTCTCTGGCTCACTCTCTTACATTGTATCTGTATCTCCTTGTCTTTTTCTCTCCTTGACTCTTTTTTTCTCTCTGTATTTGTGTCTCTCTTGTGCTTCTGTCTGTCTGTCTGTCTGTCTGTCTGTCTGTCTGTCTGTCTGTCTGCCCGTCTGTCTGTCTGTCTGTGTGTCTCTCCCCCTCTCTCTCACTGGCTCTGTTCTGCTGATGTCTCTCTTTTATCTTTGTGTCCTTCTTCTCATTCCCTGGCAAAAAGTGCATTTGGAAGCCAAACTGTCAGTTTGCTGCTTTGATTTTCTCTGAGCGGATCCGAGCCACAGACACACAAATGCTCTTTCTACATCTCTCTCTCTCTCTCCTATACACTAATACAAAGACACACACACACACACACACAGGCATGACCAAAAACAGTCCTGCTTGGAATATTTAGCGCAGAAGTAGTTGCTCCTGCTGGTTTTTCAATTGTGTATAGTAACAGTGAGACCAGTGAAGAGCATACAGACAGTGATATTGCAATGTTTTTTTTGGTTTGTGGTATATCTTCAACGGTATTTGGGGAAAAAAACCCTATTTATCACTAGTAATGGAAAGGGTGGGTTTTAAGGGAATTAAGGTAGTACTTCAGTATTTAGGTTAGGCCTGCATGATGCAGACAGTCAGTGATATTGAAATCGCAATGATGATTAAAAATGATGTTTTGTGCAGCTCTTCTGCTCACTTCATTCAGTCACCTTCAGATGATGAAATGATGCTAATAAAATGTCCCTCAGAGCCTGGTTGCATTAACATGTTTTGATTCTGTTTGATTCTGTTTGATTCTGTTTACACTTTTCACAAAAATGCGTCCCCAGTATGAACAGACGAGAAAAAAGCACTTGCATAATTTCCGTTTTGCTCCTGTTTACGTTTTCCCTGTTACCATATGACTCGACAAGTTGGCTTGGGCACTTCCATCGGTGCAAGAAGAGTCCCACAGTGCAAGAAGGCACGTGGTTTGGGGATAACTCTAGCCTCGCATATCTTCCATCTTGTTTATCCTTTCACCTGCTAGTAAGCACTCGGTAGCCATGTTTCCGTTATTACGTAACCGTATACAATTATTATTTTGTTTCTATATACTTTGTCATTAAAACAATATGAAAATTCATCTGAAGCCATTTAAATATAACCAGTCTGGTCAAAAATGTAAGGTATACTTTTCTTCATCTTTCATCTGCATTTTAAAGGTTAGGATTGGACTTTATTCTAGACATGTCTAAAGCAATGTTTTGCGGCTGATGGATGTAATTTTTGTTAGAGGTCTAATGTGTTTTTTTTTGTTTGTTTGTTTTTTCTGTTTTCTCTTCTATCCCCTGAATCTCCTAGTGAAGCACATTTCCTGAACAGGGGAGGAGAACGATGACGTGAAAGGGGGAAGAATGTACAAAAGCATAAAGTAACATAGGTGAGTGAGAGTGAAAAGTATTTAAGCAATACATATCAGTGGAATAAGTTGATCTCTCAGGACGGGATTTTGGGTTTTATGTTGGCTGGAGATGGAGTCTGTGTGAGTTCATGGATAAACTCCCTTTTTGTACTGGACATTCTGCTGCTGATGCACACAGCCTAGGGCCTGGTTCATTGAAGGTTTTCACCCTTTTTTGAACTGGGATAGGCAAGGCCAGGCAGTATGACTGTTCAGTAATCTTGAAACCTTGATATGTTGCAATATATTATTTTAGTCTACTTATGTGAGTTATACGTATGATACAGGTTTCATCACATATACTGGTCAGTTTTGTCCCCAGTGAAAGTTTTTTTTTCCCATAATCAGTATTAAGAAATTGAAATTTAAACATCAAATATGAATCTAGGCTTATTCTAAACCCCATCAAATGGTAATTTCTAAAAACTGAAGTGTCACTATATAAATACTAAACATTAAGTGACTGTAACATTATAAGTAATTGGTCTAGAAATAATAACAATAATAAAAATAATAATAATAAGAAGAAGAAGGTTTAATTTTCAAAATTTCTGTTGGTCTGTTCATCAGGAAATGTTTACACAATGTAAAAGACAGATGGCGTTTTTAAAATCTTCAAAAACTTTGTTGCATTTCTGGACCATTGTGCCTACTCTGACCTTTTCACAGCCTTTTTCAAATAGATTAATTGTTGTGTTGCTGAGCAGGCTGTGCTCATTTAGGACTCGATTAACTAGGCTACTAGGTTTCCTACATCAGTAAAGCAGTAAAGTGAATAAGAACCTTCTTTAAGACGTCACCACATAAAAGCTGGATAATGTTTTCAGTGAGTGGACACAGTGAGCATAGAATACGGTGCCACTTCTGCTTGAGTGACAGAGTAGTCTGAGTCTGGGAGCCATGGACAGTAGAACGTTTGGACAATCTGCTTTTTTCAAACTGTGTTTTATTATATTTCTGTCTTCTTGTTGTCATTCAAACTTTGTTGGATGTGTAATATAACAGTTATCATTTAGGGATCATACAAACATTTGCAAAATTTTACACTGTGTTCTAGACCTGTGCCGGTAACAGAGTGTCAGGGGGTAGGGGGACACAAAACTGTAATTAATCTAATGAAAGAGAACTTTATTATCTGAGAGGTTGTGGTCACTTAGCCTGTTGTCTTCTTCTCTGAAGCCATTTCATCTGAGGCCATTTGAAAAGGCCTGTTTGGCCTAATGTATGAGAGCAGAGACGTTATTTTTACCAATCTTACTGTGTCTTCCCTAAGACATAGTTGTTTTTTCAAGGTGTGTAAAACCTGACACTGTGGTTTGAGGATGTCCTAAAATGTATGCCTTAACATAGGACTGTGCACACTTAACCAGCACAGCTGTGTTTCTAAAACAGTCCTGTATATCACTGCTGTTGGAAGAAAACCTTGTTTCTCCATTTTTGACGTTTTTCACTTTTTGACATAATTTGAAAATGCCTCTTGCCCTTTACATTGTCTGTAAATTCCATGATGAATGGACCAAAGGAAATGGCCTAAAATGACTTGGGAAAAATGTCCGGTTCCATTGACTTACATTAAAAGCAAAGCAGGTTTTTTCCTTTTCCTGTAAAGTTACCATTTTGGAGATATAAAGTTTTCTTCTGACAAAAGCAGTAATCTAAGTACAACAAATGTGACATTAAAGTAGCATATCTGATCACCCAGCATGTTTAAAAGTTCAGTTGTTTACATGTGGGAATACTGCAGTCTTGGATGGAGTAAATGAATAAATAAGCAATGTTGTTTTTTTTTTCTTTAAACATGTTTTTACAGTGACTGGGGACTGTTACCTCAGTAACTCAGTTAACCGCCAAAGGCCACAGGCTTACTATTTTCCCTGGGACTTTAATCATTCACCAGTGTGTTTATTATATATTTTTTGTATATATGAGAGATGTATATAGTAACAGAATTATGATACTTGTATTTTGTCCATATCATGCAACCCTATTTCATTTACACACACACAATCAGGCCCTGCAGGAGATTTGTTACTGGATTTGAATCTCTGATGAGGTTTGGTGGCAGGCCAGCTGTTGCACCTAAGGATTTGCATGAAAGACTGGCAGTCAAAGTACTCTGAACATGCATATGCACATACACACCATCACACTGACTCACCCACTGATCTTCCCAGAAAATATAGGTCCTTACAGATATATGGTGTATTTATGGCAGTCCTTTTTTCTTCATTTAATTTATTTGGGAGAACAGGAAGAAGATGCACATTAGTGAAAATGCTCATTCAATGTTTGTGCTCATTTGACAACAGTTAAAATACTATTTTGAGTGAGTTCTTTTTGAGGGGCTTTCTGTCTTGCACATATACACAGAGTACAAGAGTACGTCTCACACAATCTTGGCAGACAGGAAATCAATTGCCATCACACCTCAGTGATGAAGTGAAACTCATGCACACACACATGTATCTGTGAGCTTTCTGATAATGTGTGTGAAGTGTGATGTGTCTGAAAGGTCAATAGTTCTCAGCTCTGTCTGTTCTCTGAAAGGAGAAATAAGAGTTTTCTCGTGTGGCTTTAAATGTGCATGTAAGTTTGTGGATGAAACTGTATATTGCAGTAACTTCACTGAGTATTCCCACTGGGAGACTCCACATTGGCTGCTCAGCTCTTCGTGCTGAATGGTCCTCACCTATCCTCCTCACTCCTGCCTCTGGATGCACCATCAGCACAAAAATTGCACTGGGAGCTTCATAAAATGGGTTTCTGCGGCCAAGCAGCTACATACAGGCCTAAGATCACTATGCACAGTGCCAAGTGTTGGCTGGAGTGGTATAAAGCATGCTGCCAGTGGAGCAGTGAAAAACATGTGCCCCAGAGTAATAAAGTTGGTGGTCTAATGGATGAATCTGGGTTTGGTGGAAAATACTACCTAGCGTAATGCATAGTGCCAACAGTAAAGTTTGGTGGAGGAGGGATAATGGGCCTGTTTTTCATGGTTAGGGTTCGGCCCCTTAGTTCCAGAAATGTTAATGCTACAACATAGTACATAGCTGCCAACTTTGTGGAACAGTCTGGGGAAAGCCCTTTCCTATTCCAGCTTGACTGTGTCCCTGTGCACAAAGTGAGGTCTATAAAGGCATGGTTTGACAAGTTTGGTGTGGAAGAACTCAAGTGGCCTGCATTGGAACATTAATTTTGAGCCAGGCCTTCTCGTCCAACATCAGTGCCTGACCTCACAAATGCTTTTTTTCACTGAATGGGCACAAATTCCAACATATTCCAAAATCGTATGGAAAATCTTCTCAGAAGAATGGAGACTGTAATGTCCTCAAAGGGGGGCCAGCTCCATATTAATGCGCATGGTTTTTGTCCAACAAGCTCATATAGGTGTGATAGTCAGGTGTCTACATACTTTTGGACATAGTGGTCTCTAAGCACAATTCTCTAAAATTAGTGCTTCATTTTAGATCTGCAGTGCTGCTATAAAAAGCCCTACCCCTTCAGATGTCAACACAGCCAAAGCAGTTCTGGAAGTAGTAGATGATGGAAATTTAGCATTTCTCCACCATAAAATAGATAAACACACAATAAAAGGTAAAATAATAAAACAAATGTGCTGCCCAACTTGGACGAGAGGATGCATCTGGTATGGTACCATTTTCTTAATAACTTTAGTTTTTTTATGTGCCGGATGCTCATTTTTTGTTTGAAGGCAAATTCTCTATTATCTATTAAGTGATCTCTTTTTAAATGTAAAGATGCACTAAAAGATGCACCAGAGCAGTACTTGTTAAGTACTATTTGTATGGGACATATGATGTTTTGTATGTGACGTGAACTTTTAATATCTGTAATAGTACTTATCAGCTTGATTTTGGCTGTAAATGCTTTCTTGAGCATGTTCGCTATTAAGAAAAAAAACTTCTATATAGTATAATGGAATATTTATCAATATGTTAATTCCACAAATCGTATATAACCTAGAGTCACTTCTACACTTTTTATTTCTTTTTAAATCCTCCATAATCATAAGATGCAGGAATATGCAGTCTGTTAAAAGTTAATAACGTAACTAAAATCACAGAGAAACACCACTAATAATTACAATACTCCACTTGCCCATGGAAAATTAATCCTGTCCAAAAATGACTTTAGTATTTGCCAATTCACATCCACTATCTGAATCTGTTCTACCTTACAGCATCAACCAATCTTTCAGTGTAAAGGCAAGCATGTACTTCCTCTTAAAAACATGTATCCAATCACATCTTTTCAAACAGATACTAACACAGTGTTGTAGCTGAGTTCACTTGAAGGAGAGTGCTAACTTCCAAGTTCTGGGTAGATGACAGGTGCCCACGATTAGCTAGTCTCCGTTCTTGGAATATCCTAGTAAACCAGTGACAAACTGTGACTATTAGAGCTAGGCCTTCAGTCCAGTCCAGACATTTCTAATCTCACTAAAAAAATTAATAAAACCCCACACTACAATAAAGCTGTTTTCTGCTAGCACGCTTATGGGATTTCTAATTTTTTGGCCTTCCTAGATTAAACACATCATTTGAAGCTTGTTAAAGACATTCCATATGTATATAAGTGAAGCTCAAAAGAAACATTAACATATATTACCCTGTATTTTGCAGTTTTACAGTGACTCCCTCAGTAAAGAACCCTGTTATAGCACCACTGCTGCAGTTTTTCACTTTACAACAGTCTGAAACCTGATTAGGCTACTTCTAGTATTCAGTCAGTGACTTATCTAAGATTTTCAGAGTGACGTTTTTTCTCTGGCCAGCTCCTGAAGTCCTGAGCAATGGGAGAACTTGGCTTGGCTGCATCTATCCAGATACCACAGGAAAAACAATCCTGAATGGGCAGTTTTCATCAGAAGTTTCAATCATTTTGTTCCCAACCAAAACTTAACAATGAAAAAGAGTATTACTACTATAGTTGGAGAGTTTAAATATGACAAGCAGGAT